ATGCTGCAAAGAATGGATGAGTCACAGCCAATGTGGGTAAAACCAGGGATTTGTGACTCAGTGGGGAGGGAAGGTTTGCAAAACGCTCAGTGCTGATTTAGCTGTTACCACTCAGAGCGAGATCTTGGAGTCATCGTGAATAGTTCTCTGAAAACATCCACTCAGTGTGCAGCGGCAGGCAAAAAAGCGAACAGCGTGTTGGGCATCATCAAGAAAGGGGTAGAGAATAAGACAGAAAATATTATAATGCTGCTATATAAATCCATGGTACGCCCACATCTTGAATACTGCCTGCAGATCCGGTCGCCCCATCTCAAAAAAGAGACATTAGAATTGGAAAAGGTAGACAGAAGGGCAACTAAAATGGTTAGGGGGATGGAATAGTTTCCATATGAGGAGAGATTAAAAAGAGTGGGACTTTTCAGCTTGGAAAAGAGACGACTACAATGGGATAAAATCTTGACTGGCGTGGCAAAAGTGAATAAAGAAATGTTATTTATTCCTTCACAAGAACCAGGGGTCACCCAATGAAATTAATAGGCAGTAAGTTTAAAACAAACAAAAGGAAGTATTTCTTCACAGTCAACCTGTGGAACTCTTTGCCATAGGATGTTGTGAAGGCCAAGACTATATGGTTCAAAAAAGAACTAGGTACATTCATGGAGGACAGGTCCATCAATGGCTGTTAGCCAGGATGGGTAGGGATGCACCCCCATGCTCTGAGTGTCCTTGGTCTCTGTTTGTCACAACCTGGGAGTGAACGATACTCCATTGCCTGTTCTGTTCATTCCCTCTGGGACACCTGGCATTGGTCACTGTTGGAAGACAGGAGACTGGGCTGGATGGACCTTTGGTCTGACCCAGTCTGGCCATTCTGATGCTGTTCTTAACTCTCCTGTGTGGGTGGCTCAGGAGAGGTGTCATGGATCCATAGGTCCGGTGCTCTCGAACGGCTCTAGAACAGTGTGTCAGCCCCCTTAGGGTCACACCCATAGGGTCACTATGGGAAGCCATTTGGCTTCACCTCCTCCTGGCACCAAACTTCAGAGCCTTCAGGACCCCCGTGTCACGCTGTGAGCTCCCTTCGGGAGTCCACCAGAGTTGGAGACCTGAGGGAGCCATGCGCCCCAACTCCCTGACTATGGAGTGACTCTCAGCCAGCGTGTAGCAGCAGGAGGGTTTAGTAGATGTCTGGAACACAGCGTGGAAAGTCCTTCGTTAACATGGAGAACAGAAAGTTACAGCCTGGGCCGTCGGGGGCCGTCCAGAGCCCTCTGACCCCTCTTTAGTCCCAGTCCAGAAGCTTCAGTTCTCTCCTGCCTCCAGCAGCCCACACTTAAACCCGTGCGCAGCCCTTTGTTCTCCAGCTGGTCACATCCCACTGGCTTCCTAAGGAGGGTGGGCCAGGCATGGTCATTTGTTGCTAGGTGCCAAATCTCTGGGCAATTGGAGCGGCCATTCTCTTCTGGCACTCTTCATGGGCATGGGCCTCCAGGCGACTAGGCCTCAGGCATGTCTGTATCTCTGGGTTTCTGCAAAGAGCAAGCAACCTTTCCCCCAACCCAGTCAACCATGCACCACATAGGGGAAACTGAGGCACCTGCACTATTCATCCAAAATATTATGAAAAATTCCCACTTCCGCATGGGGGGGGGAGGGCACTCTCCCCTCTGTGTTCGCGCTGACCGCTGTGCCCCAGGACAGCACTAAGGGATGCTGGGCTGCAGGAGTGGTGTGAGTGGCTCAGCAGGGGGCGCTCTCCTCTCTGAGTCAATGCTGAGCCCCGTGCCCCGGACGGTCCCAGGGAGCCCTGTGCTGACGGCAGCAGGAGGTGGCCCAGTGTGGGGAGCGGTTCCACCCGTGCCACTACTGACTGCAGTGCCCCGTCTGGCGCAAGGGCTGCTATGCTGGGGGAGGGGTGACTCCAGGGGAGACCTTTGTAGTCTGAGAACAATCCCTGTTTTAGGGCCATGATGAGTAGGCCAGGGGGGCTCAGACCTTTTTTTGCTGGGCCTCCTTTGGAAAATATTTAGGGCTGTGGAGTTCCCCCTCCGCCCCCCAGACACACACACACAAGAGATAGCAAGTTACTGTTCATACTCCTAGGAGCATACTCATGGTATTGCCACCCCTACTTCTCTGCTGCTGCTGGTGGTGGCGCTGCCTTTACAGCTGGGTGGCCGGGGAGCAGCTGCTGTACCCCCTCTCCCCCTCAAGTTCCCCATCACCCTGGCAATATTTTTTGTGATCTCACGACCCCCCTACAATTGCCTTGTGACCCCTTTTGGGTCGTGCCCCCCCTGTGAGAAGCGCTGATTTAAGCGAACGTTAACCCCCGCCAGGCTGCGGCGGCAGGCCCTGGGCAGAGCTGCTGAAGGGTCAGGGGGCGTGGTTGCTTGTTCGGCTCTTGGTGGTTAGTATTTCGTAGCGAGGAGAAATGCTGCTGAGAACGCTCTGGACCAGCCGGACTGCACCTGGGTCCAGGTCGGTGCCAGGCTTGGGAGCAGCGACATTTGACTGGCAGTTAACGAGACTGGGGGCCAGACCCGTGGCTGGTGCAAAGCGTTCAGAGGAGTGTTGCTGATTTCCACCTGCAGAGGATCCAGCCCTGTGGAACCTGCCCTGTGTCCTGCATGAGTCTGGGGGCGATACCGGCTGTGTGAGCTGAGCCAAGCCAGGCACATCAAAGGAACCTGAGCGGAAGGAGCCGAGAGGCGCTCGGAGGCTGTGCTGCTGTCAGCGCACAGCTGGGATTGGGAGGCTAAGTGGGTCACAGGAGGGGAGACGAGAAATGCGCTTTCGGCACATGGCAGAAAGAGAGATTCTTTCACTGCCCCACGGCGCGCCTGCCTGGCCAGACCACTCAGTGTGCCAGCCTGGCTGGGCACTGTGGGCCCCTCCTTGTCCTCTGAGCATCGCTTCTGCTTTTAATGCAGCTTGTTAACCGAACCTGAGGCTCCTGCCTGGGAATCTCATAGCACCCCCAAGAACTGTTCCACCCATCTCAGGGGAGGGATTGGGATGGGGTGCTGGCTCGGACGGGCACGGACTCGGATGGCAGGATGTGGGGAGGGACCGGGGCAGTGAGGGAAAGCTGAGGCCAGCCAGTGGGCAGTCGTGGGCAAAGGGAGGACACTGGTACCTTTCCCGGCTCCATGTCTGGAGGCTAAAGGAGGAAAGGCTCAGCTCAGGCCCTTGGTAGCCAGCAGCCACCCCACTAACAGCCCCCCGCACCCTGGGAACAGGTCAAGGTCGCTGCACAGCGGCAGCCCCAAAGGCGCGGAAGAGCCTGCAGCATCCCATGCCCCCGAGCTGCCAGCCCTGGTCCCACGCCCATAGCTGCTGGCATTGGGGTATTGGGGGGCTGCGGCACCCCCTGGCTTGAAGTAGTTTCCAGCATATGCAGGCTTTACAGTTTGGTTCAATGGTTCTCAGCCCCCCCCCCCCACTACACACATTGTTCCAGCACCACGACCACTGCCCACGACCAGCCCAAAGTCCAGGCTGCTCCCTGGGGGGAACCTGGGGGAGTCTCTGTGTCTGACAGCAGTGGCCAGGCTGCACTGTTAGAAGTGGCCACCAGAGGGCAGGCCATTCCCACCTGTGCTGGGAGCAGGGCAGGCAGCGCTCAGGTGGGCCAGGTGCAGGGTGGGGGCTGGGGCGGGGTGGGGGCTCTGTTTGGGGCTCCGATTCGATTCCCTTCATGCTCGTCACATCCGGGCGCATCTCTTTAAGGCCAAGCCTGCAGTGAAGGCGCGATCCTGCCCTCGGCTGCTGCCCAGATGCCCTCAGTGTGGGTGGGGTGCACGTGGGAGACATGAGACGCAGCACGTGTGTGCGTGGCACACGATGGGGCCGGGTGGGCATGACACGTGTGTGGTGGGGGAGGGGGGCAGGGTCATCCACGGGAGCCGCGCGCCAGGGACACAGATGTAGGATGCTGCTGAGCAGACCCCAAGCAGAAGGTCCAGGTGACCAACTGGGCGGGGTCTTCCTGACCCACATGGTGCTAATAGGCCATGCCGGGTGCTGGCCTCTGGGTTTATTGAACACAGTCCCAAGTAGAGCTTGTAGGTACAACCGGGACCCCTCAGTCAGGTCCCTCTGGGGGGCAGGGAGCTTAGACCCCAACCCTGGGGTTCCCGCCGTTTCCCCAGCCAGCTCCAAACTGAAACTCCACCGCAGCCGTCTCCTTCCAGCCTCCCCCCGGCTCCTCCTCCAGTCTTTGTCCAGTTTCCCGGGCCCAAGGTGTCACCTGGCCCCAGCCCCCTCCCGGCTCAGGTATCTTCCCTCAAGTACAGTCACCCCCTGCTCTCCCAGCCCCCATGCAGACAGTCCCAGGTCAGTCCGCCCCGCTCCCTACTGCGCAGCGTCACAGCCTCTTCACCCCCCATCTCCAGGGGCATCGGGGGCTCCTGCTTCAGCTGGTCCAACAGGGTCTCCCTGCCCCTTCTGGGGTGGGCCCGGGGGGGCGTGGCCAGCTTGGCACAATCCTCTGCCAACCTGCATCACAGCGCCTCCTAGTGCCCCACTGCGGCAATGGGGTCAGCACTGGCTGCAAGGGGAGAGTGCCCCCTACTAAGCCCCACCCCTCTCCGTACAGCACAGCGCCCCCTAGTGCCACGTGCGTCTGATGGGGGCGAGTTTTGCCCCCGACACCCTGTTCTGCGCAGAGCCCGGGGTGTGATGAGGCCCCAGCTCCCGGCCAGTGGGGGACTCCGAGCTCTGCCAACCCTGCCGACAGCGCCAGCACCGGCCCCGCTCTGCTAAATGCCGATGCCCCCGAGAGGCCCCCAGTGCCTGCTCAGCTCAGCGTCCCCGACAGGCCCGTGCCAGTGGGGCAGAGCGGCAGCGGGTGCCCTCACCCAGGGAGCAGAACCTGCGGTGGCAGCTGTGCCAGCCCGGGGCAGGGCAAAGGGCTCCCAGCGCCCCCTTTCTGCTTGCCCAGCCGGCTGCCCTCCTGGCTGGCAGCGCTCGGTGGCACCCTGATGGGCTCCTGCGCCTTTAAATCCGCCAGCAGGTTGCGGGGCTGATGACATCACTGAGTCCCTGGGCTGCAGGAGGGAGCTGAGAGCATCATCGGGGAGGCAGCGATGGAGCAGTCGAGCCGCAGCAGCCGGAGGCCGGGGCCGGGGCCGGGGAGGAGAACCGCCGGCCCGCAGGCTGGGGCAGAGCCCTGCGGCAGCCACCGCAAGGTAAGTCCCGCGGGCAGCCCGGGCGCACCTGAGCCAGGGGAAATGGAGCCTCCTCGCAAGAGCCGGGAGCGCTGCCCCCCGGGGTGCCCTCGAGTGCCGGTCCCCGCTCGGACCGGCCGTGCGCTCTGGGGCCGGGCCGTGCGCTCTGGGGACCGGCCGTGCGCTCTGGGGCCGGGCTGCCCCTGGAGCCCTGCGGGGCGAGTGAGGCCGGGGCCCTGGGCTGGGGCAGTGCTGCTAGGACTGTTAGTCCGATGACCCCAGGCTGCCCCCCGGCTCCGGTCCCTCGCACACCTGCGTGAGGGGCCGGCTGGCCTGGCTGGGGTCCCACGCACCTGTGGCCCAGGCGGGGGAGCCGGTTCCCGCTGGCAGCACCAGCCGACCTCTCGCCCACCCGGTGACAGACTCGCTGGTTTTGGCAGGTGAGTCAAATGATGGCTGGTTTCTCCCCCGCCGCCCCCAGGCCGGGGGAAGGCGGGGGCCTGGGCTGAGCTATTTTCATGGCCAGTTAGTGGAGGAGCCAGATCTCTGGAAAGGCGGGGGAGGTTGGGGGGAGCTGGGGGGCTGGGTCCCCGAGGGAGTAGAACCCAGGAGACCTGCCTGTCGCTCCCCGGCGGGACAGCTCTGCCCGGGGCAGGAAAGAGCCTGGTGATGTGGAGGGTCTGGCTGGCTCTGCCCCCCAGTGCCCCCCAGCTCTGAGCCCCATGGGGGGATTTCATTGGTTTGAGCCAGGCTCTGGCGGCTCCAGTGGCTTGGCCTGTCGTGGTGCCCCCGCCCTGCTGCGGGCGCTGCCCGAGCTGACACCCAGCACCCGTGTTACCCAAGAGCCAGCCGGCCTCTTCCTCTTCCCCTTCCTGCCAGCAACGGCAGACGTTCCTGGGGCGAAAAGCAGCCCCTGCCTTTGGAGGGAGCCAAGCGGCCGTGGGGTCCCGTGCCCGATGGGCCAGCAGCCCCAAAGCGGGGTCCCTGGTATGGGAAGGGTTACGGGAACGGTGCAAGTGTCAGCAAGTCTGAGCCGGGCTGAAGAGGGGAAATGAAGGGCATGGAGGGGCCATGTGAGTGCAGGGCTCCTTGGAGGGAGAACGGTGCCTCGCTCCCCAGGTGCCAGCGACTCGCTGCCCAGCCCCCTGCCGGCAGGTCAGACATCCTGTCAGACCCACAGCGCAGAAAGCCAGACAGGAACTGGGTCCCCAAGGTTGATGCTTTTCACACGAAGGGGCCTCACATCGGACACCGAGGCCAAGCTGTTCTCAGGGGGCCTGATCGTCCCTCAGAGCTGAGAGCTTGGCCCCCTTGGGCTGGGTGTCCGGAACTGCTAGGCCAAGTCCTGCGGGAAGGGGGGTGTCTCTGGGAGGGGGTATCCCTGGAAGGGGGTGTCTCAGGATGTCCCAGGAAGGGGGCGTCTCTGGAAGGAGTGTGTCTCGGGGTGTCTCTGAAAAGGAGCGCGTCTCAGGTGCTCCTGGAAGTGGGGCGTCCCTAGAATGAGTATGTCTCAGGGTGAAGGGACAGTGTCCCAGGGGCTCACACGCTCCCTGTCTGTTCTCTCCCTCTCTCAGATGGAGCCAGCTCACCGTGGGAACAAGGACCAGGGACCGGCCCCAGCCATGGGGGCCCCGTCTCTATCGCCACGGGGCTCCATTACCGCCACCTCCCCGGGACCGTTTGCTCCTCTCGTGGCTCCGTTCGGTGCAGAGGGCTCAGTTCGGTTCCAGCCGGAGGGCTCCAGTGGGCCCATCTCAGCAGCGTACGCTGGGGGGAACCTCCCCCTGGGGCACAGGGGCTCCAGGCCCGACACCCTCTTTGACCCTTTCCATCCCGTCTCCCCTCGCTCGCAGCCCGAGGGCTCCCAGCACGTGGGGCCCGAGGAGAGGTCCCCGGGCAGGCACAGCCAGCCCCAGGTGCTGGAGAGCAGCAGAGCCCAGCCCGACGGCTCAGGTGGAGTCCAGCTCTTCACCCTGCTGTCCCCGGTGGAGTTCCGCCCGCTGTCCCCGGGCGCCGGCAGCCCCTCCTCCCACCCCAGCCAGTCGCCCAGCCGATCTGCGCTCCCCGAACTCTGCCCCCTGGATCAAGGGCCCTCCGGGAAGATGCTCCCTGTGGAGCGGAAAGAGCCACTCCCCAAGGCAGAGTCCAGTGACTACATCTCCGGGGGGAGAAGTGGCTCGTCCCCCAGACCCGTGAGCCTCCCCAAAGCCATCTCCAGTGAGTTCCTCTCCGGGGGAAGGATCGGCCCCTCCAAGTCCATGACCCTGGCCAAGGCCGAGTCCGAGGACTTCCCCTCGTACGGGAGGAGCAGCCCTTCCCTCGCCCTGCCTGGCTGCATGGACCCCTCCGAGACTTCCCTGAGCTGGCTGGGCAAGGCCAAGGAGAACGGCGCATTCCGGTGAGCGTGGGCTGCAGCGCTGGGGGGGGGCAGTCTGCTCCCTGGGGGGCTGGGGAGCCTATTTCAGGGTCTGGGTGTGCTCGGAGCCCTGCTGCAGCGGGCTGGGGGGGAGGGGGAACCGGGAGAGGCTCTGGCTGAGTGCCAGCACCAAGGAGCAGAGAAATGCCTCCCTCCGGTGCTCTCTGCAGGTGGCTCGCAGCGTGCTCAGCAGAGTCGGGGCCACCAGCCCAGTCTGGATGGGCAGAGCCCTCTCTACGGGGCTGGGGCAGGTGGGGCGTGTGCCACCTGCCTGCTGACTGCTCCTCGACCTGGCAGCAGCTGGGGATGTGATCCCGGTGCGGGGCTCAAAGGGCACCAGGGACAGTCGTGTAGCTGTCTGTCCATCCAGCTCCCTAGCTTGGGAGCCTGCCTGCAGGGCCGGCTCCAGGCACCAGCCCACCAAGCTTGTGCTTGGGGCGGCACCTGGAGGGGGGCGGCGAGGTGCTCCGGCTCTGGCCGCCGGGGAGAGCGGAGCCCCGACCGGGCCTCGCCGCCCTCCCCCGGGCGCTCTGGCTGCCCTCCCCTGCCGCGCTGGGGGGGCGGGGGCGGCCGGATGCTTTTTTGCCTGGGGCGGCAAAAAAGCCAGAGCCGGCCCTGCCTGCCTGCCCCATACACCCACCCTGTAGCCAGAACCCACCTTCTTCAGCAACGGCAACTGTCCGGTGGGGCTGGTGGGCCGGCATTCAGTGCCATTGCGTGACTGATAGCAGCTCTGCGCCGGGAGAGCACGCACCTGCCCTGGGCTCCGGGCCCCTCTACACATCCCAGCCCTTCCCAATGAGAGCCAGCAACTGCTCCAGAGGGAACGGCCCGGCTTCCCCCGGATGCCAAGGCATTGCCTGCTCCTCTCTTCCTCCCCCAGGTCTGCACCATGCATCAAAGCCAGGGCAGCAAACTCAGGCAGACCATGGGGAGGGGAGTGGGCTCCGGTGTCTCCCCCCTGTCCCCCCCACACACCCCTCTCTCTCCTAGGAATTCAGGGGGACTGACTCTCTGGTAGGCAGCTCTCAGGCAGTTGAAGGCTTAGAGCCAAACCCAACCCCCTTGAACGCCACCCAGAATCCAACAAGCTCCTGGATCGGGGAGAGACCCACAAGAGACCCTGTTTCTGCACCAGCTTCCTGGCTGGGGTCAGCTGCAGCCACGTGTGTGAGCCACGGCTACAGCCCGTCCCCGGGGCTCAGATGCAGCCACTGCCCTACCCCACCTCGGTCTCTTGTGCAAATGAGCTAGCGAGTTCCATTTTGCATGTAATTTGCATGGCACTAGAACCACCAAGTCCCTCCCTGAGCAGTGGGGCAGAAGGAGCCGTCACGGGGCTGCACGACCTCAGGCAGCTTGTTGGGGTGGGTCACTGGGAGCTGATACAATGGGGAATTAGCAGCCTCCTGGGGATGGGGGGCTGCGGGGAGCCTGGAGCCAGCCTGCTACTGCTCTAGCCCGGCCCTGAGCCTGCAGGGCGAGGGGCAGAAGCTCCACAGTGGCCTCTAGTGGTCAAAAGACACAGCTGCAGGTAAAGGCCTTCCTGCCACCTAGCCGGGTGCGTGACAGTCCTGCTGAGGTGTGGGCGTCGAGGCAGGGCTGAGCACTGGGCCTGCTGTGCCCTGGTGTGGATCTCACGCCCCTGGGCTGGCACTAGCAGGGTGCTGAGTGCACTTGGTGCGTAGCATGCCCAGCGTGGTGTTGTGACGAACTGGGACTGTTCTCACTGTGGTCTGTGAATGCTGACAGGGGAGTGTGGCTAGGATAGTCTGCATTGGAGGATGGGAGACAGCCCGAGGGCGCATACCTGAGTGTGTAACATGAGAACCCAGGAAGGGGTTGAAGGCCAGGTGACTCCTTAACCCGGGAAACTGAACAAAGGCTGTGGGAGGGGTCGCTGAAGCCAGAGTGTGGGAAGCAGGCTGGAGAGATGGCTGGGAGGCAGAGATGGCTCTGACCTCCCAAGGGGGGCTGGGCTGGGATGCCCGGGGACCCCAAGATGGACCTAACTGAGGGGGTCCCTGTTGTCTGTGCCTGCAAGACCTGTCTTGGACTGTATTCCTGTCATCCAAATAAACCTTCTGCTTTACTGGCTGGCTGAGAGTCGCAGTGAATCGTAGGAAGCCGGGGGTGCAGGGCCCTGAGTTCCCCAATACTCCGTGACAACTGGTGGCAGCGGCGGGATCTACTGCACCCCGTGGACGGCGCTTCCTGCAGTAAGTGACTGGGGAGCAGTAAAACGAAGGGGGATTGACGGGGACCAGGCGTGCTGAAGAGGGTGACCAGACAGCAAGTGTGAAAAATCGGGACAGGGTTGGGGGGGTAATAGGAGCTTATATAAGAAAAAAGACTCAAAAATCAGGACTGTCCCTATAAAATCGGGACATCTGGTCACCCTAGTGCTGAAGAGTGAGAGAGAGACGGT